AACAGCCAGACTACACTGCGGCAACACTGCTTTCCCAATAGTGCTGGCTAAAGGGGTGGGTCACGTGATAGTGTGTTTCACTGTTTTTTTTATTTTTTTATTTTTTTTATACCACATATCGTACTTGTACAAGTTTGGTGACAAAAGTCATCGATAATAGCCTCTTTTACACCCAAAATGCTGTTTTTCACTGCCCTATAATTCAACCACCTGTGGTGGAAGTGGTTCAATTCTTCCTGAAATAATGATTTTAAGTGTTCTGATTCTGAGATTTAAATTTTGAAGCATATGGTTCAATATTGCGTGAACTGCAGTGATGTGGAACTGGTGATTTTGGGAGCAAGTATCTTCTTGTATGAGAGCCCATACAAATTCTAGCGGTTAGGTTAGATTTTAGAATAGGCCACACCAAGAACTGAGGGCTGCTCACAGAACAAATAACTTTGTCACAGAAATATGAATTTCAGAGTTCCTAGGTTGTCAGCTATCTATTGGTATATTTTTTGTACAGTACCCTGAATTTGGACAATTTTGGTGTGTTTTGGCGGTACTTGCACCCGCCGACGATGACTTTTGTCCAAGAATTATACCAATTGAACTATTTTTTTTCCTTTTTTTCCTTTCTTTCTACTCTGATACGATACGAGTATAGTACTCGAGTATACTCGAGTAGACGTGGACCAGGATAGCCAGGGATTAGGGAGGTACGATACCATAGTTTTCTAGGTATGATATGATAATTATGATACTGTACGCAAGCTCTTGGCAACTTTGAAGGTAGGGCTGAGCTCTAGGGTTTCGCGACCCGATGACTTGTCCTACCTTTTCGCTGTCAACAACCTTTTGGGAAGATAACCGATGGGGGATTTAAAGATGGGTGTGAAATGAAAAGGGCAGATTGAGCGAGGATAACTTTATGACAGTTAGAAAAGGACCGGGTAGTGCAATTTCCTGTTTTCTCGGTATTCCCATAAGTTTGTTTTCGACCCCTCGTTCGTTCGTACTGTGCAGTACTGGACTAGGTTACCGTAAAAGCTGGAGTAGTTGGGAATGGCATGGCGCTAAGGGCGTCCAGAATCCCCCCCCCCCTATGGATTAAAGGGAGAAAAGGCAATGGAAAGACTCTCCTTTAGCCCAGTTGAGATGAGTAAAAGGGAAAAGTATTTCGGGCCTTGCGGTACTTGGACGGGGGACTCTAACGTCCTAGAGAGATTCTCAAATGCACCAGTTCAACGCTCAAAGACCTTGCGAAGGATTGGGTCTAGGAAATCCCTCTCCATACCTGTTAAAGGTGGTTGAACGAGGAAAAAATAAAAGTTTTCACTCACTCAATGTGGTACTGACACACTTGTCTACTGTACTGAACGTAGCTTACGTAATCTGAGCTTATGAACGGGCATGGAGGCCCTCTAATCTCCGTTCCTTGGGTCAAAAGTGAAGTATAAGAGTGAGGAAGGTTCTCTTTCGTCCGTTTCCGTTCTTCCGTTCTCAGGATTCTCACATTTTTGACGCAGAAGGTGGAGGTGTTCGTACGAAATTTTAGCGATTGGGGGGGGGGGTCTTTTCGGTGATCTTGCTGAGAAATCTCTGAGGCTCAGGGCAAAAGTTATGATACTACGGCACTCCTTCGTGGCGCCGCCGGATGGCAACGGCGGGAGGTCGAGTGCTTGAAAAACACTCGAAGGGGCTGCGACTCTTGTTAGCGCCTGGCGGCTGTTCTTCAGTTTGGCGGTTCTTACTTAATCCTGAACTACAGCTCTGCCTGACTGCTGCTTCATCCCGTTTTTTTAATCACACCCGACTCGTCGGATACCGGTTCGGTGGTTCCAGGATAATAAATCAGGTTGAGAGATCGCGGACTTTCGACCCAACTTTGGAATCCACTGCTACAAGTCACCTTCACAATAAAGTCGGGAGAGAAGGTGGTTGACGGGCGGGTACCGTATGCTACGAGCCAGGTGAAAGGGCAGAGTGATGTCAACACTATTGCACTGTAAGCGAGTTTTCGACCAAACCATAGTCGGTAGCCACGCAAAACCTTAACGCCAAACGGCCCCTAACTTAATTGCTATATTGGTCGCTAGGAGGGATGGCGGCTTGAATCGTTTTTTTTTTTGCAAATCATCATCTTTTGCAAGTACGGGTGCCACAAGAATACTGTTTAGGGGGTTATACACGCATTGGGAAGGACCTACATCCTCCAGGGTAGGCCAGTACGTGTCCTAGGATGTTCTCCTTTAACTCTGCTCAGTTTATTTATTCCCTACAAGGAGGTAGCATAATTCTTGAATCGTGTAGGAGAGGGGCCGGCAAGCCGCCAGTCCGGCACGGTCTTTTCGGGAGTTGGTCTAGATAGATTATGTACGCTGTCCGGCATCTGGAGCTCATCTAAGAGCGCCTGGCTGAACTACAAATATCTAAAGCTTCCGAGTGATCGGCCATGATTGATCTTATTTCGGTCCCCAATGGATGTGTATACATCGACAGGGATAGAAAGGAACACTGGAATATGCTCCAGCAATGTCAGTTATTGCGGGCTGTCTATTCGGCAACTTGAGATCTCCAAGTTTATTGTTAGACATGCAAAACCTGCCACAGAATAATTTGACCTGTAGGAAATATTGAAGCCCATTATGAATGTATCGTAGTTAGTTGAGCACTGAGAGGGATGGGAATCTAATCTAATCTTCTTTGCAAAAATCTGGCCTTATTATGGTAGCAGTGTCTGAGTCTGCCAACAACTGGCTCTAACTGCTTCAGGGACTATATAAAGGGATGTGAATTCTCCTTCCATTGCTTCCATAGCCATGCTTACTAAAAAAAATAAAAATATCATACCTAAAATACAGACAACATTATAGAATTACAGCAGCCCACCTTTATCAATGAAGCTTGAGATCTACTGAATGTAGCAAACGAAATCAAATTGCTGCTTAATATTTTAGTAATATACGACTAAGGAGTGCTCATCATTGAACAGTTGCAGAGAATTTAAGCAGATAATGTGCAAGCACACCACAATCACCAACGTTGCCAGTGGATAGATAAACAGCTTGTTCGAACTACTAAGCAGCAGCTTTAGAGTCAGAATCAGCAAATTCTGCATGATATTCAACTGCTTTGAGCTGAGTTGAACAAACTTCAAGACTCTCAACTAATGGAGGTTTAACTCAAGAATATCAAAAGCTGTATTCAAACCTTCAATCACTACTATAATTTATAAGATGTTTTCCACCAATATTGCTCAAAGGCTTTTCTATCTTTAACTACTTTACAGGTTGCTTCTACATTTATCTAATTAGACTTTGAGTAAATTGTATGAGATTAGATATTCAAGTATTCTTGATAGAATACTCCAGGGACCAAGTCAGAGCTCCACAGCTGCCCTGATAAGGTACACCATTTAAGAAATGTTTTATTTAATCTCTGTTTCTAGAAATCTGTTAACATATAATATACCCAGGTTGCTACTGTAAAGGTTTGAATAAACACCTCAGCTTACAACTGGCAGTCTAGCACAGCCTACACTTCCCATAGAATTATTAAGAAAGAAATTTGCAGATTATCTTAGACTCTCTATTGTTTGATAAGGCATATTTCGTACAGGTGGTCAATTGAGCCACCTAAAATAAAGAAAAATAAAAAATAAAAAACAAACAAGTGCTACCTGTTAGCGATTGATCTTTCTGAACTAGTATGACAGGTAGACAAAAATAGTAAAAGTAGTTTCTACTAATCTGATGGGCCACAATTACCTGTAGTGCTGTGGATACCGCTCAATAACGAATTCAAATGAAATCTTGAGATCTCAACCCCCCGTTCGCATACAAATTTACTCTACTAAAATATATATAAAAAAAAGGACAAAAGACTCAACATTGAACGCAATAATGTCCAATCCCCTATGCATAGGAAAAGCTTATAAGAATATCCACAATGAAAAATATAGAGAAAAAAAAAGGTAGGCTTGTCTATGCGCAGGACAGGGTTCTGAGCGCTGCAGATGCCCGGCTGAAGTACACCTCTGAGCGTGCAAGCATTGGTATGCGTAATTGTGACACCCAAAAGAGAACTTATTCCTTTAGCAATCTGGTCTAAAAGCTTCGAATAAAGTATTTCGATCATTGTATCGCACTGAGCTGTTACTATATGTAGTAGGGTACGGGCACCTTTTTTCTTCTTTGAATTCCCGGTTAGTTTACCGGGAAAGGTTTGTGATTGGTAACTTAGCGCTCGAGCTCGCTTTATGTACTGTACAGGATGATAATGCATGATTCTCACAAATCCCCGAGCCCTAGGATCTCTTTTATGTAGCTTCAACTATGCCCTCGGCGAGACCGCTAGCTAGATGAGAAACGCAGAACTCGCTCGATGTAGAGATTCTTGGGGGGGCCAAACTATCCTCCAGCTAGGGAGACTAAAATCGATGCCTCTAATAATAATGGGGGGTTGTTGAAACCCATTGCTAATTAGGCAAAGCGTATGGGACTGCACCTAGGGCACCGTGGTGTCTCGGAAAATGGCGGAAAAAGGTATGCCCGGTTGCCGGGGCAGTGCGGGGTCATAGCTCCTGTGGGATGGGTCCGTGGACCCCCCATTCACATATACCACACCTCATTCCCCTTCCGTCTCGCGATCACCATACTTCCTTCACCTCGCGTTCCTATACTTCCTACTGCTCGCGTTCTTTTTACCCACCACCCCCCCTTGGCGGACCTCTATGCGCCCTCATTGCCACATTGGAACATGTCGGCGGCAACGATCTCCCATGGTAAGGGCAGCGGCCACTTTCCCAGGACCTCCGAAAGTGGAACTACAGACCGATAAGCAGCATATCTATGGGGTGTGATTTCCTTTGGCGTTCTTCTTGGGTTCTTTTAGTTTCTTTTCCTGTTTAATCTAGATATCTCAATGTATTCACTCTGCTTTGGAGAATTGGTTAGTGTATTGAGCAAATTCTGGAAAATCCAAGAATATGTATGATACATATACTTTATTGGTCAGTAGATAACTGTCTCACCCTCACCGTTCTCCTCCCACTCCAAAACCCTCGGCGCGTTCTCCCCCCTCTCCCCCCTCCTCATCTGTACCCAATCCCCCAACCTCTTCCACAAAGCCCTCTTAAACTCTGGCCCATAAGACGCCACCAACCCACTGGTACTCGGCACCACAAAGACCCTACAGCCCCTCCACCTCCCCTCCCCCACCTCCACCCCAAACCTAACCCCTTCCTGCCAGCCCCAGTCAAACTCCCCCTTCCTAATCCCCCTCCCATTCCGCACCTTAAAAACCGCCTCCCAGGCCACCTTCCCGACAAAACACACCGCCTCAGGCTTGTACCTCCGCACCTTCTCCTCCAGCACCGCAACACCAGCCAGCATCTCCTCTTTGGAAAGCTCCGCAACACCCTTAGTAGGCCGGTTGACGAGATTGGCCAGGCCAAGGGAGTACAAATCTGGCAATCTTCCATCCATTTGTGGGGGGAGGCGGCGGTCCGGGGTGCAGCCTGAGGAGTGCATCAGCGGCCAGAAGAGATTCGTGGGGTTCGCGAATGAGTGGCCGATGCGCGCGGTCGTTAAGCCCGGGTTGATGCCGGTGAAGGCGCAGATCAGGTTTTCTTCGAGGGTGTCGGGTAGCAGGGGCAGGTGAGCGTATGCGCTTGGGGGTACATAGCCAGTGTTCGTTCTGCGTTTCTTCTTGGGCCTTGTCGGTGGTGGGGATGGCCCGGCGGGGAGTCTCGATTCCATTCTCACGGGGGAGGGCTTCTTCGGGCGGGGGTTTCGAGACGTGGGGGGTGGATTCCCAGGGAGTGTTGGCCGAGAGGCGATTGCAAGGGCACCTATCGGAGCCCTACTATAACTCGAACTCGCAAAAGCGAATCCCGATAAAAGGCCGCCAAAGGATGGATAGAGCTCTTCTTCCTCATCTAAGTCCTCATCCTCCACTTCTTCCTCTTCGCTTTCCTCAACAACCTCCTCATCTTTAACCTTGTCCGCATATTTCCGCTTACTCATTTCCGCCTGCCCATTCCTGCCTTCGCCTTGACCAATGCTTGAAGTGCTCAAGTTAGACATTTATGCGGGGACAGGGCAAGTTGAGGTGGCCGGTGGCCTCGAGGTGAATGATAGCGTATGAGGGCTTGGGATTGCTCGTCGACAGCCGTGTCCGGTTATCTGCGCTACTTCGATACGATACCGGTACTAGTATACCGGTATAATCTTTGGCAATCAAGTATGGTAAATTCACTCGAGTAATATAGTATTACTTAATGTAGGTACTGTACCAGCGTGGTAGGTTCCCTCGTCACTTCCCCATTGGATAGACCCGGGTGTCGAATCGCAATTGTGACCCCCTGGTATTCGAGTAGGGTGATTAATAGGGTGACGGAAAATCGACAAGTCGAATATGTCATGTGACTAGAAGGTCACGGGGGAAGCAAAAGAAATGGAGCTAAACTCAATTTAGATGGGAGGTATGCGTTGTCGACTCTGGAGTTGTCTGCGAGTGGTTGTCATCTTCAGGTAAATTTTCTCGTGTGTTAAGGTGAGAAAAGAAGTCACGCCTATTGCAACAAACTGTGCGCCAAGACATTAACCTAAATAGGAAACTCTGTAGGGTCAAATGCCCTATCGGGTAGTCTACAACGACCAAGCCCTGATAGCAAGAGCCTGGTCACCGCTTGGAAGGAGGTCAAATTTAATTCAAGCCAAATGAGGCTTTTTTTTTTGGATACGACGGTTCGGTTCCTTTTTGGGACTGTCTACTGTGAAAAATGATTGATGGTCAAACCAATAACGGTCACTTTGTATGAGGCAACTGAACGCAACCCTTACATCCAAACAGAGCCTTAGCATACTCACTCGTCTTTGCCAAGAATACCTTCGCCGGCCGATATTTTGCTGGAGTCCTCACCAAATATTCGCCTCACGGAGGTATTCTTGGCAAAGACGAGTGAGTATAGTAAGTTAGGAAGACTCGGGGAGCTGCACATTGGCGAGTGTCATTGCCGGATCATTGCGGGATTCATGGTTTGTCGGCCGAACCGGCGAACACTGTGGACTTGAAATTGGCTAACTAGTACTATACTCGAGTACAAGTATGATGCCGGGATATTTTAGCTCCGGGATAGTGGGAATGTGGCTCAGCACTCTGCTACAATCGAACTGTCACCCGTGTTAACCTAACGAATTCGTTTCGTCCGCAGCGAATCGAACCGAGGGAGTTACATACTGCTGTTGAACAGAATTAAATGGAGGGTAGAAAACTTGAACTCATTTCACCCTGCATGTGTCCTACCCCCCGCAATACTATCCACTACCCTCCCTGCATCGGCCCCCAAGCACTGCTACTGTGCCCGTAGGTTTTTGGGTTGATTCCCGGGCCTGCTCGGCGCGCCTGGATTTTGATGGTTGCTCCTCATTGACGGAAGTAATGCTCATCAAGTGAGTTGCTGGATTTTTAGTACGACGGGATACAAGGTACCCTTTCGTGAACCACGCATACTCTGGCGGTATCTGTCCAATGGAGAATTTAACGCCTGGCCCTTATACCACCATTATTCCCTGGATTCAAGGCCTGCCCAGGGGCGTCGTTCACTACAAGTATCTCCCGTGGGGGACCTTGGCGATTCCCATACCTAGGATGATGATAGCAGATCTTTTTCTCACCCTTATTGAAGGCTGGACACTGGAGGGTCGCAGCCCATTCTGAAAGCTGCAGGAGTCTGTGGATCGTTCGGGAGTATGATGTATTATTCTAGAGTTCCAGTGATTTACGCAGAGTATTCTCCAGACCCCTCTGTCTTATTATCACGGGAGTCTGAAGAGATGGGCAACATGTGTGGAGACATAGAGATATGTGTTGCGATCTGTGGAGGGATCGGGGTGCTGTTATGATGGTTTATTTATACAACAGCTCGTGCGGCTAGTCTGGTTTGAGAAAGAGTTGGTGAGGAGAGAACAAAGTTGTTTCCTATACCCTCCCTATCTCTTGTACATAGCCCACAAGTTCCCAGAAAATCCTCCCATTTTACCGCCAACTGCTGCGCAATCAATCTCCCACCTTATTCTACCTTAAGAGCTCTCCAATTCCAAGTCGGGTAGGCATTCGGCGGAAATAGGAAACAATGATACGTTACAATGCTTGTATCTTAGTTTAACCTGGGGTTGGGGTGTGGTGGCGGTCACAATCCGTCACGCTGGCTTGAGGTTTCTGGGGTAGGTGGTAGTCTTGATAGAAGACTGCCGGTATGATATTAGAGCCCGGAGGGAAAAAATCATAATATAACTCTGGCTAACCAATTGGGTAGATTAAGAGTGTATGAAAGAGAGTTGAATTTCCAGGGAGTGATAACCCAAGACCGCTAAAGCCATGGGAGGAGTATTTCGCATACAGCCTATTTATCTATAGGGTTTCCCGATTCATTATGCCCGGATTTTCGTTCCCATGGTGACAGCAATGATCCTACCCGTAAAAATTCCCGAAGCTGCAAATTTAAGCGAGAAAAATTGGTTGGGTTTATTGGGTAGCCTCGGCCAACCCAACAACGCCCCGACCCACAGGGAGACTTGGTTTTTCTGTGAGTTGTCGGGCATCCATTGGGTCGTAGAGCGCGAGATGCTATCTTTCCGCCAAGGATGGAGACTTTCACAAGTTCTACAGCACCGAGTGATCTATCATGTTGGAGATATTCACAGAGTATGATACGATATTAATAATATCATACTGTAATATGATTTCAAAATATAGGATCTAGTCATCTGATAAGCAAAGCAAAATTTTGATCAAAGTATTCTCAAATTTTGAAATAATATTGCACAAGAAACCTTGAAGGATGCTCAGACCACCACTCTATCATCAATCATGTCCATCTACTTCCATCTTCTCAACTGTCCTTTTTATTTTTGAGATCTCTGTGAGTGATAATTTGAGTAAAAGAAAGCAGGGATTGAAATTGCATAGTCTGTATGACACTGTAAAGTTGAGGAAGTGGACACGAATGAGTGATCTGTGTAAGCCCCTTCAGGTTAAGATTCTAACAATTTACCCTAAAACCCGGATGAAATTATTCTACCACACCAGCTTCTGCTATCGCGATATACAGAATTCTGGTATTCACATTTTCACCCTTTAATTACCTCATCTTATTTGGTGTTTGTGTCATTGGAATAGATATCTTGCCGTTCCAATAGTAACCTTGGAGCCCTCTCATCCCTGTCCTCTGCGGCGCACAAGAGTTATTCTGGGCTAGATTAGGTGTGTAGATGTGCTGTGTGGTCCATAGTTTGTTCAAAGCTTGTTAAATGTAGGGGTATGGGGGAGCGGTGCTGGAGGCTTCATAGGCAGCTGGCTGATAGAAATACAGCCCACCCATTCCCCTATGAATAAACGCCAGCACATTGATTTCTTGGATAGGACCTCACGATTACTATCTACATTGGCCGTAGACGGAAAAACCACCAAATTTAAAAGTACGGAAAGACAGAGTTAAGCCATTGTGGGATTTGCGGGTGCGGAGGGGGGCATATAAAATGGGCTAAGAGCTGGGGATGTGAGGTCAATGTGTTTCTGGGGATGTTGCGTCTGGCCAAGACGTCCCGCGGAGGGCCCCACTTGTTGCTATGTCTAAACGGTATGCACTATACGGGTGTTACTCGATTATCATATTTAGCAAGGTGGGAAGCTAGATTTTTTAGTTTACATCTCAGTGTGATGTAAGGAAAGTCGGCAATACTAGTGTTTTTTTTTTAGTGGTAAAAGAGAAGAAGAGATATGCATTCATTGAAGGCTAACTATGATACAAGTGGTAATAATGGAGGCTTATGCAGGTCTCCGATTCCTCCATCCCTCCAACACGCTCTACCTCAATTACCCCTCATCCTCGCGCCCCCACCTCATCAACATGCTGCCCGCGGTAGGCCAATCTTACCCACCGCACTTGGCTTTGCACTCCGCTAGTTCCCTCTCCATTATGACTATATAAACACAAAACGTTTATATTTGAATCCTGAAGGCCCTGGGTGTAATGGAGTTCGGGCAGACGGGATCCGGACTTACGACGGAGTCTGGACTGATGACTGGGTCCAGACTGACAACGTGGTCTGGATTGACGACGGGCTCTCGATTGGCGGGGTCTAGACAGACGACAGAGGGGCAGACAATTTCCGAAAAGGTGATTTTCGGGCAGTAGACGTTGGGGCCAGTGTCCCCAACCTTCCAGTCCGTCCGTCTTTCAGCCCGGACGGGACTGACGGTGGTGCCTGGGAGGATGCCCGGGACGGACGGGCATCTTGGCGTCCGTCTAGACCACTGCTCGGGACGGACTGTCGGGCCCTGCAGGTGTTTCAAGCTGGGGAATAGGCAAGATGCCTACTACAGGTGACCGCCGGTGACGGTCGGGCCCTGCAGATGACTGTCGGAAGATCCCATTTATACTGAGACTGCAGGGCCCGGGCGTCAACCCCTAGGACCGCCGTCTTTACGGAAGTCGGACGCCATGCCCTGCCGTCCTTACCCACCATGCCCGGGACGGTTGGGAACACTGGTTGGGGCAGACAACTTGGTTGGATATCGTGAGGGGGCAGGACGAGCCTGATGGGCAGGATGGGCAGGCGGGGAATGAGGGGCAGGAGGGGCAGGCAGGGAAGGAGGGGAAGGAAGGGCAGGAGGGCCAAGTAAGGTTCGTGGGGAGAGGACCTTGGAAGGTTATGGTGTGCTGGGTGATATTGGGATAAAAAGAGTTGGCGGAGAAGGAAATATTTTCGCCGGTAAAGTCCCCGTTCAGAATGGTCCCGTTTGAGAGTAAAGGCCCGAGGCAAGTAAAGGAGGGCTCCTGGGTGGGCCATGCACGGTTGGTTAGGGCATCCAGGATGGCCCCCACAATTCCCGCAATCATGATTGATGCGGTGGGTCCATACTTGGTCAAAAATGCTAAAGAATATGAAATGACCAAGTTAGCGGTCTATGTTCGGAACTTCTAAATAATTTAGACTAACCTCCGATTCTCTTCCAGACTGTCTTCCCACCTTCCTCCTCAGGAGCCGATGCCTCTTCCCCTACGTCTTGTGCATCACCC